ATGTAGAGCAAGATTCATCCCCACATAACTGGTTAACCGCCTTTTATACTCTTAATATGTTTAATAAATGTATTTATATAAAAGACGAACTTGATTGATTCAAATAAGCATTTACCAGTTTGTTATGAAACTACCCACGACTTTTTACAAGAAATTGTATTTTGTCAAAACTGTACTAGGGAGAAGCAAACCTGAGCCAATGTAGACTTATTACTGTACAATGGAGGAAATGTAGTGACCACAGAGCACAATCAGATTACATTTTCATTTTTACACACGCCTACAACAAAGTTTCCACCATTGACCCACTTCAAATCTGTAATCATTCCCCTCAATCATTTGAAGAAAGAAGAAAAAAACAGAACCGCAAGCCGTGTACAATGTCATGCACAGCCGTCCTGTACAGACCCAGTGGGGAACTCACATTTAATGTCTGGCTTCAACGGTTTGAGAATGGAGCTAATCTGGAGACAGGTATCATGATGTTGAGAAAATCAAATCAGCCATTTACAAAAGCTGCAACAAGTCCCAAAACATATTCTCTCTCAGAGCACATAAAGTGAAATGGCTACTTGTTCAATGTATTCGAGGGATTACAGAGCCTGAAACTGCAACCCAGCCTGATTATAGATTGGGGGGGGAACAAAAGTCATGCGATCTTGAATTAAAATTCCCCCTAAAGCCCAGGGGGAAAACTCTGCTGTGCCCTTTTCAAAAGACATGATTTAAAAAGAGGACAGTATAATAAATTATAATACAGGGACTTATTTTAAATGAAATTGATAAAAATATTATGATCTCTAGGATATAAACAACCATTTTGTCAACGCAGATGCATGCTTTGCAGCTATAAAAAATGTGAATTGTTTGAATAGATTGTGAAGGGATTTCCCTGCAAGGAATTTCCAGGTCACGGAGGCAATGAAGTGATAAGTGCTTTTTGCTCACAACACATCAGCATGCACTGTCCTTTCTAATTATACAGAAATCCGTTTCAATCTTGGAGGAATTTGAGATCAGATACCTGAACAGAGCTCACCATGACTGAGCTCCAAATGAATCACTGGGTGAACACACAACTCAGTGACATCGAACAGTTCATACAAGGAAGGGCCCAGATCCAGGGTATGTTCTCAATTTACCCATTTTATATTTAGCATCAATAACATTGGCCTTTGCCTTCCTCCACTGAGGAGGGATGGGCTCAGGAGAAACACAAGCATATTAAGGAGAGTTTTTATTGCTGACCACCAGCTTTCATCTTTTGCTCAATATGCGCACACATGAAAACCAGTTAAAGACAGGATTGGGGCTCAGCTGCAAGATGTTCTATGAATAAATCAGCGAATGATGCACATACTTATTATTCAATGCAAGGACAGATGACCAAAGCACCATGTTTTACAGGGAAATTCACAGCTGTTGACCAGTCTCAATGTTCTACTTCACCCAAAAACCTACATTTTGAAAATCAGAATGGATGTGAAAACCTCACAAGGAGAATTTACAGTTAGAAAAGAAACAAAAAGATTAGTACAATTTCTGCACCATGTTATAATAATCCTTGCATTTGATATAGCGCCGTATCACATCTTCGAGATGTCTCAAAGCGCTTTAAAAAATATACTGTAAAGTGAATTGACTATGTGTTTGTGTCCGAAACGCGGAAGCAATCAATTGCACACAGCAGTGTCCCAAACAGTCATGGATTGAAGTAACCAATGTATTATTTTTATTTTGGAAGGAATTATTACCCCCAGAAAAGCGATGTAACAATCGATTACCAATCAGGTTCGTACTTAATGCTAGGTAAACAGAGGTGTCTGGAGTAAGGAAACTTGCTCAACATTTCACCCTGTCCGGGAATCAAACTCAGGTCTCTTGCTTGTAAGGATAGTGCTCTAACCACTGAGCTGCAGGACTTCACCAACATTCACACATCTGTTAAATGTGTTGGATCTCACGACTGAATCATCAGTCAAAAATACCTCAGCCAAGCCCTGAACTTTAAAATTTATGAGTGCAATAAGTCAATTAGAGTTCATTTTCATAAGCACTGCTAACAAAAGAATGTTGTAACATTATGACTTTGATATAGCCCAAAAAGCAACAATAAATTATTCTCCACTACTTACCAGGCATTGCAAAAATCCCTACAATATGTGCTTTTGTTTTACAAAGAGGCAAACAAATAAAACACAATCAGTAGACACTGATCAAGTCACAGCAGTCTGATCGCAAAAGCCTGTAAGAAGGCTACTAACCTTGCCAAAAAAATTGTTTCCATGCAACTTATTGAAAATTGTGCTTTTTGTTCCATCAGTTATTACTTAAACACTTAAATGTTTGTGTCGCACACTGCACTTGTTACTCTGGCAGTTCACGGATATATTATGTATGAATCACTAAAATGAAGAATAAAACCTAGATTTCTACATGGCCTCTCAAAGATAATGGCCCACGAGTAATTACAATTAGGTGCTACAAATAACAACAACAAAATTACATTTGTAAAGTGCCTTTCATGTCGGGAGGACATCCCAAGGCGCTGATCAGTCGGGGATCAGGACCCGAGTGTAGGGGGGGAGGGTTGGGGTGACGGAGGGCAGAGAGGTAGGAGGGCGGCTGAGGCATAGTCGAAAGGGAGGGTCTTGAAGTCATGCCTTGAAGGAGACAAGGCAAAGGGATTGTAGAATGGAGTTCCAGAGAGTGGGGGCAGTTTGTCCGACCTTGCCAGCTCATGTCCAAGTCAAGCTAAAAATAAATGTATAACTTCTGCATCATGAGGATTTTTCAGTAATAAGAAAAGGGAAATCCGCAATAATACATTTACATAATGCCTTTTACAGAATTTTCACAGTGCTGGGTGAGCACTCAAGCTGGGGGTGGGAGCTGAGTGGGGCGAGCAAGGGGAAAGAGGACCAAAAATGGAGTCGAAGAGGTACATATTGTGTGTGACTACATACAGCATTCTCCCTTTGATAATTCTGTATGAAACCTGATTTAACTCCAGCAGGAATATAATCAGGGTGAAACAAAATCAAAATAGGGTGTTGCTCCAGCATCCTATGTCAGTACATTGAGTGGACAGGCAGAGATCAATTCATGTAATTCTAACCATGTAACTTCCCGATAAAAAATCCTGAACTTGTATTTCCTTGTTTAAATTTTCTTCCCTTATTTCTTCCCTCCCTCTTTTGAAGCCAATTCATGCTAAAGCATGGATCATTTTATCTTAACCTGGTGAGTTTAGGATTATTATTAGAAACCCCTTGTGCGTTAGAGCAGTGCCATACCAAGGGGTCATTCTTGATGCACATGCTAAACCATAAGCCATCAGTTCGCTACATTATAATAACAATCCTTACATTTGATATAGGGCCTTTACTTGTAGGATTTACTTTACTTATTGATGGTCGGGCCTTCAGCCTCTTTGCCCCCAGCCTTTGGAACTCCGACCCACATTCCCTTCACCTTGCTCCTTCCCTTCCGTCCTTCAAGGCACGTCTCAAGACCCTCCTCTTCGACCGCGGCTTCGGCCACCCTCTGACCCCTACCCTTCCCGCCCTCCACCTCTCCTGATCCCAAGTCCCTGCTCGGGTCCAAATCCCTGACTGACAAGCGCCTTGGGACGTCCTCCGGACTTGAAACAACAAGAACAACAACTTGCATTTATATAACGCCTTCCACACAGGGTAGCGTCTCAGAGCGCTTAACAGTGTAGTGTCTCAGAGCGCTTAACAGTGGCAGAGTCTGACTCCGAGCTGGGGGGCGGTGGCCATAAGCATGATCGAAGCATGGTAGATCTGCAGGAGTGAAGACGCTGATGAGTTTTCAGCGGGACTTGAAAAAGAAGAGAGAGGAGGCAAGGTGGAGGGATTGAGGGAGTGTTCCAGAGTTTTGGGGCGTAGTGGCTGGAAGCGCAACCTCCGGTGGTGGGCTGGAGGGTGCGAGGGATGAGCAGGAAGCTGGTGCCAGTTGGTGGAGTGGGGAGTGAGGAGGTTGGAGAGGTAGAGAGGTGCCAGGGAGTTAAAGGATCGTAAAGAGGTGCCAGGGAGTGAAAAGATCTGACCATGAGTGTGAGGATCTTGAAGTCGACCCGTTCAGTGATGGAGAGCCAGTGGAGCCTGAGCCAGAACTGGTGAGATGTAGCTATGGAGTTTGGTCCGGGTCAGTCTGTGGGCAGCAGAGTTTTGAATGAGCTGGATCTTGTGAATAGTGGGGCTGGGGAGAACGGCAAGAAGTGCATTGGAGTAATCCAAGCGGGAGGTGACAAACACATGCACAAGGGTTTCGGCTGCATTTGGGGTAAGGTACGGTCAGAGGCGGGCAATGTGGCAGAGGTAGAAGAAGGCGATCCTGGTCAGGGACCAGATGTGGGGGAGGAAGGACAGCTGGGGTTTGAACCAGATACTTAGGTTGCGCACTGGTTTGGTGAGTCTGAGGGAGAACCCAGGGAGGTTGAAGAGTTTAGATCTGCAGGAGTAAAGACATTGACAGCAGACAAGGAGTAAGGTTCTATACAAATTTAATTTGTTCTTGTTGTTAGAATATAGCGACTACATATTTGTTGTTGAACATGGCATCCAATTTGCATAACAACAACAAGTTACACTTATATAGCACCTTTTATGTCAGGAGGACATCCCAAGGTACTGACACAGCAATGTCCCACAAACAGCCATGACACGTGAATGACCAATTTCATCTAGGAGATTGTTGGTCTGGGTGAAATTCTGTTTCCTTTTCAGGCAGTCTCATAGGACCCTAAATGTCCATTTGAACACAGATGGGATGTCGGTTTAACATCTCATCTGAAGTACGGCACTTTACCAGATAGGCTAGCAAGCTACCAGAGCACATTTCCGATCTCACCCGACATTAATAAGCACACAAGCAGAAGTTGTACATTGATGTCTCCCACTCTACCCTTGTACATTTATGTCACCCACCCGAGATGAGATTATCCAACACCACAGACACAGAATTAATGCACGTACCTGGTCTGTGTAATTCATTTCCGCGCTAAGAACAGTTATTCACTAAACCACCGGGAAGCAACCATCTGGAATTCAATTCTACTTACAACCTGAAGAAAAAAGAAAGAATGGGCATTTTTCTACAACCTTATCCTATCGAGACATTTCAAATGCGCCGCATGTAATTACTGTTAATGTAATTGGGAGTATTTTTATAGACTGCCACAATTTTTATAGACACCACCTGAAAGCAGAACAGTGGAGCAATGGATTGCCATACCATCTGAAAGACAAAGCGCTTTGTGTATCCTTCCTGAGTGGGGCTTGAACCCCCAAACTTCTGACTGATCCAAAGGCAAGAGTGCTGCCATCTGAATCAGACACTGACATTAGAAAACTATCAATCAGTGACCAATCGTTCTTGTAAAAAAAAGCATTTTAAAAATGCTGCTCATCAAATATCAAATACTGTAAATCCAGCTCTGTGGTGGGATATGAAAATGTTCTTTTCTGATAATGGGAAAAATACGAACTGAACTGAGTTTGGGCAGCTTCAAGTCAATTTCCAGCAGTATTTTGGCAGTGTGGAGAGGAAACAGGATGACAAGTGCAGAATTAGGCTGTACCGCCTGAGGGTGGGAGAAAAGTACATTGTCATCAGCACTGTCCACCGAGCTTATAACATGCAAACAGCAAGTTTAAGGAGCGTAACAAGGTGCTTCAAGGACAAACAGAACATTGAAATTTTTTTTGCATGGCACAGGCACACATTATCCAGGAAAAACATTTCCTTTACACATCCAACGGTGTAAAGGAAATATTTGTCGTGGATAAAGTGTCTCTGTGCACTTCCACTACAGTTGCTCTGAAAGGGAGAGACAACACTGCAATACTCCACCTTGAGTTTCCCTCCCGCATTTCACTGTCCTCCCTGATTTCAGAGCCCACTTGCCGTTGGAATTTGTGGGCTGTTAACATGGCATTTTGACTAACAAGAGAGAAAGTAAGAGCAACATGGGACTATTTCAACCTTTCAGAAGGAATAAAAGGCCCATTAAAACTAAGGTCCTTAGTATACTTTTTACGACAATTACATTTTGGACTAACCATAGTTCTGTAGAGAACGGAAACTACTTAGTCAGGATCACCAGCACAAACGAAAAAGATATGAGTTTGTAGTAGTAATAATAATCCTTGAAATTATATTTCATCCACAACGTGTAAAGACAATCCACTTTATAGTGTATCCTGTGAAGCGCTTTGAGACGTCGCAAAGAAGTGATAAGGTGCTATATCAAATACAAGGATTATTATATTATTATTAGTAGTTATAGCGCCTTATGTCTTCAAGACGTCTCAAAGCACTTCACAGAATATACTGTAAAGTGAATTGACTGTATATTTTTTGTGTGTAATGCTCAGTTGGAAGGTTACAATCTCACCTGCCCACTGAATGGTACATCCTCCCAATGTGAAAGGTGTTATACAAATGTAATTTTGTTGTTTTTGAACATTGAAGTGTTGCTCAGCACAGGGCAATCCAGGATGTTGAGGCAGAATTGCACGCCATAAATGTGGCCACTTTCAATACCATACACTGGATACAAAGCATTGTCAAAAATGTTGCATTTTCCTACCACACTGCTGTGCGAATATCTTTCATAAGTGTTATATTACACCTGAACACCACCATCTGTCCCCAGAATTTGCACACGTACCTTCTCCCTGACAACCAATAACTCACTGATCGGGGGACTCAGATTATAATAACCTACTTTTATTGGTATTCCTAGTATTGTAGTACCCAAACCAAATGTGTAAAAAAAAATCCATTGACAGTACTTCAGAGGTGCTTATCATACTTCGGAGGTGCTTATCATATCTTCTAGGTTTCAGTGCAAACACTTGGGATAAGTAACTCCTGCATTCTGACTAAATCAGAGGCAGCTCTACAAACTGCTCCGCAGAATGTGTTCTGACAGTTCTCAAGAAGCTTACATTTTGAAAAGGAAATTGAAATTCAGCAAAATGGCAAGCTGCTCCGCTGTACACATTCTTTCACTTGGCTTTTTTTTGTTTCGAATATGGAACAAATGGAAGTCGAGGAAAAAATAGAACCCAGTTGCATTGCAGGCAATGCAAAGTGTACAATCAGAATACTGTACAACTGTATTTGGATACATTACCACCCTCCTTCAACATGGTTCTCAGTTGGATACGCACAAAATGTATATAAGCAACAAGAAAAGTTCCCACTGTGACTCAACCCAAGTTTGAGCAGGAAATACCATTCTCAATATTCGTTATGGTGAACAACCCAAATAATAATATAATAATCCTTACATTTGATATAGCGCTTTTTTACGTCTTCGAGATGTCTCAAAGCGTTTCACGGAATATACTGTAAAGTGAATCGACTGTATATTTGTGGGCGAATCGCAGCAGTCAATTGCGCACAGCAGTGTCCCACAAACAGTCGTGGATTGAGTCACCAAACTATTATTGGGTTTTGTTTTCTTGAGGGATTATTATCAGGCATGTAGAGTAAGGAAACTTGCCCAAGGTTTCCCCCTGCTGGAAATTGAACCCAGGTTTCTTGCTTGCAAGGCGATCCTCATCCTCACCTACAAGGCCATTCACGGCCTTGCTCCCTCCTACCTCTCCGACCTACTATCCCCCTACTTACCTGCCCGTACCCTCCGTTCCTCTGACTCTGGTCTGCTCCACATCCCCCGCCCCAACCGCCCTACCATCGGTGGTCGGGCCTTCAGCCTCTCAGCCCCCAGGCTCTGGAACTCCATCCCCCAGTGCCTTCGCCGCTTCCTCCCTTTCCTACTTCAAGGCCGGTCTCAAAACCTTTCTCCTTGACCGTGCCTTCAGCTCCCCTCTCGACTCTCTACCCCCTCCTCGCTCCCTCCCTTCCCTCCCCTTACACTGACCATTTCCCCCCTGCTCGGGTCCTGATCCAACTGTACAGCGCCTTGGGACGTCCTCCTGACGTGAAAGGCGCTCTATAAATGGAATCTTGTTGTTGTTGTTGTTGTTGCTCTAACCACTGAGCTACAAATCCCACCAAGCATTATCTTTGCTCTGCACCATCTCTATACCATCTGCTTAACTCAGCCTTTCTCAGGACTTCAGCACTGTGAATTTTTTTTTACTCTTTCCTCTCCTTCCCCCTCTCCCCCCCCACCCCCACCTTTTCTTCCTTCTGCCATCTTCAGACTTTAAAAACCCAATCATTGCCCTATCATTACTTCTAGACTAACCTGGTGCCCTATCTATTCCTTCCCCATTAATGTGTCCTTAGTGTCAAGAGTCTCTGCACCTTTTGCTGGGTTTCTCAATTGTAAAACAATATTCCTCGCATAGTTCCAAAAAAATATTTTTCAGCTGAGGCAGTGGGCACTGTGAGGTACGCCCAAACTTGTTCCTTTCCATTCCTTTCTCCAAAAAATGCATTTCTCACTACAGTGAGCTTGGGACACCCCATACCAACCCAGTGGGTCACGGTTCCAATCTACCCACATATAGCAGCTCAAAGCAAGGGAAATGTTAGACCTGGCTGCTAAAAGAAAAATTGGGTGTGATGGTTTTGTGGGGAGATGGGAACCTGCACAAGCCCAGGAAATAGTTTACACAGAGATCATAAAACTTTCAGTGAAAACAATGTCAACATCATAATAATTCTAACTTTCAATATTGCTCCTTTACCACAGTTTCTTCGGGAGACAAGTAAATAAAATCATACTGAAAGATTTTTTTAAAAAAAGGAAGTTTTTAATATTTTATCCAGTCTTTCTTCAGGAAAGAAAAGTTATCTGTTAAGAAAATACTTAGGTGTGATCATTTAAATTATTCAAAGAACTTAGAGCCTTTTTGGATATGTTCTTTTTTTGTTATTTTTCTAAAACATACAGCTTTCCCCTGCTGGACTTAAAGACCTTATAGTCCTTATCAGGAGAGGTTAAATGATAAGATTGCTATGATCAGTTTCCGTGACCTTTTGTACCTCTTCTCATCCAGTGATTCACTGATAACTAATACTCTTAACAGGAAACAGATCTTAGAATTCTTTCCTATTATTATATTTGCATTATGAAAAATTATGAAGAGGAAAAGTTACCATAAACAGTTACAAATTCCTGCTCCATGTCAGTTAAGAGTGATGGTATGAGCAGACAACTGTACATCTGCAACTCCCTGAAGAGGTTTCAAAAACGGCTGGGTTGAGGAAGCGGAGGAAAGAGAAAGTGAATGCACAAATACAATCTGGACCAACTTGGTCACCTACAACAACAACAACAAATTGCATTTATATAGTGCCTTTCATGTCTGGTGGACATCCCAAGGCACTACAAAACAACAGACCTCACAGAGCAGTCGGAGTATTAATAAGCATTAAAAAACATGAAGCTATTTTCATTTCACAAGACGGTAAGTAATCATCCCACCAAAAACAACGGCATTGATGCCCTTTGCACCTTAAAAAATCCTGTCCAGTTAATTCCCTTTCAGTTTTGTAACCAGGCAGTGACCAACTAAATCACCATGGCTTTTGTTTTAAGAGTTTTCATAAAGTATAAAAAGCATTACTCGTGACTGAAATTGTTCTGACTGTATGTTAACATGATCATAACAGAACAGGTTGCAGAAGGCAAATAAGTTTTATATTCTGCGTTGTGGTACATAAAATCAACGTGTGAAGTGCCAAGGTCATTTTCATATTCACATGGGGGGGAGGGAGGGGGGGGGGAAATGCGACAAGAAGTTTTTAACTAAATAGCTAAAATTGCTTTTTTCAGGAAAACCTTCTTGCATCATTTTTCTGGAGATGATGAAATGCCACTACCTCATCCCTCAGGCCTTCATCACATACAGGCTCGACAATGCAAACGTCCTGCTTGTCGACCTTCTCAACTCCTCCCTCCGCAGGCTGTAGATAACTCAGAATTCTGCAGCCCGTGTCCTCTCCCGCACCAAACTCCGTGACCCCATCTTCCCCATTCCCGCCTGACTCCATTGGCTCCCTATCCTTCAGAGGATCCAGTTCAAGATCCTGGTCCTCACCTACAAAGCACTCCATGGCCTCGCCCCACCCTACCTCTGT